CACTTACAGTCTCTTAATAAAACATTCCTCAATTATTGATTTTAAACAGTAATTCAGTAACAATGAGATAGGTTGATGAAAACTTAGGTATTTCCTCTTTATATTCACTTTAAGGTGTCTTCAAATATTCATTCTTTTTTTGTGTTTTTCTTCCTTTGTTACTGTATATTTGTTAACTTCTATTCTTCTTACAGACTTGCCTCTATATATTGAGTATATTAACCCTTTATCTGCTTTATATGTTAAAATATTTTTCAGTTTTTCATGTGTCTTTACTGCTTATAGCAAATTCTTTCCTGTGTATACATTTTTTGTGTAGCTACCAATGTTCTCCAAGGCTCTATGTTGAGCCCTTTCATCATTTTACATACCTCCCTCAGTGATCTCATCTAATCCTACAATTTAAACCACCATCTACAACCAGTTAACCGGTAAATCTACAAACAACATGCAAACCAGATCTTTCCCCTAAAGTCCAGACTTCTAAGTCAAAAATTCAATCCTAATATCCAGTTATCTCTATAGTGAGGTTGGGAGGACATACTTAGCCCACAGGCATATCAAAATCAACATTTCCCATATCAAAATCCATCAAACCTCTTCTGTTTTCCCTATCTCAGGAAATGGTACCAACAACCACCGAGCTGCCCACATCAGAAACCTAGGAGTCATGCTATACACCTCCTTCTCTCTCCTCTCCACATGCAAAAGGCCCCCAAACCTCTTTAGTCTTACCTTCCCAATTTCTCCACCCTTGCTTTCTCTACTCTAGCTGTATGGGCATTGAATTTACTGGTCCTCTCTGCTCTGGCATTAACATACGTTCTTCCTTTGCCTAGAATGGTCTTCCTTTCTTTTTGGCCTAGCTAGTTCCTAAGTCTCAGTTTAAGTGTTCCACTTTAGAAAGGCCTTACTTAACTCTCCAATGTTAGGTCTCCATGGTGTATGCTTTCATGGCATCCTATATTTTTCTACTATAGTACTTATTACAGTTATCACAGTTGTAATGTATGATTATTAACCTAATTATTAACTTAATCCTTGTTTCCATCACTAGACTACACCATAAGGGGAAGAACTGTGCCTGTTTTGTTTACCCGTGTATGCTCAGTATCTTGAACAATACACGACACAGAGTAGTGCTAAATAGTTACCTGGGAATAGCTACATATTAATACTGAGTCAATAAATCCAATCTTTTTTATACTTCATTTCACCATCATTCTAATTCTTTGGTTCAAGTACTTTTTATTTCTTGCCTAGATATTATAATAGCCTCTGCAAGACTTTCTATCACCACCCTTGCATTTTCTCATCTGTTCTCCAGGACCCATGTTAAAATAAATTTCTCAAATATAAATCTGATCATATTACTCATTGGTTTAAGATTTTTCAATTGAATCAATATAAAAGTGACATGCAAGGCCCTTCATGGTTTAACCTCTATCCACTTAATCAGGCTAACCTGTCTCAACTCCTCCAAAGGCACCCAGGCAACAAATCACACAAATTATCTGAATATTCTTGACCATGCCAGGTTCTTTTTGACTCCCCTGTTTTCTTACACTCCAGTGATTCTGCTTAAAATGCTTTCTGTGGCCTATTTCTGCTCTCTCTTTTACACCAGGATAACTCCGATCCTTAAAGGCTTGACTAAGGTATCCTTCAAGACTCCTTCCTAAAAAGCTTTCCTGAGCCACCTATTCCTAACCTGAGTTAAATGTTCTTCCTCTGCATTTCAAATCACAATTTTTTAAAGAATTTATTTTTCTTCAGTTAGACTTTCAGCTCCTTGCTAACAAGGACTACATATTTTTCATCTCTATATATCCAGTTCTGTTATGGACTTTGGTAAATGTCTAGATTTGTTGAATCATTTTGCAACCATCATGGTAAAATTACATCAGCAATAATGGATGCTAAATTTAAACAAGAATTTTGATGAAGAGCAGGATATATCTTCAAGTATTTCCCCACAAATTGCCTATTAATTGCCAGGAAGATAAAACCTAGTAACATACATTGGAAAATTAGGGCCACATATGGACCAGGTGATCAAAATTAACATCCTCAGTGAGGGACATATGGGTATCATGTGCTTCCAGAAGGGATACCCTGAGAAGGACACAATATCACCTGTGCAGTGGTCCACTTGAGAATGCAAAACCTCAACCTAATCATGAAGAAAAATCAGACCAAAGACAAAATAAGCAATGTTCTATCAAAAAGGAGGGTAGAGAAAGAAGCTATAATCTTTAAGAATGTCAAGGTCATAAAAGATAAAGAAAGGCTATGGAAATGTTCCAAAATAAAAGAAGCTAGGGTCAAGACCCACTAAATGTGGTACCTGATCCCAGACTAGTTCCTGTAAGGGAGGAGGAAATACTTAAGGACCAACCTACAAAGTTGGAATATGGATGGTAGATTGAAGTGTTATTTCAGTGTAAATATATGAAGCTGACAGGAAATACACTGAAGTATTTAGGGGTGAAGAGACCATTATAAATATATATATATATAAAATCCACATATATATGGAGAGAGAGAGACCTTGCATAAGAACAACTAAATGAAATGGGTGTTCTCTGAACAATTTTTATTTTTTCAATTTTTTGTAAACTTGAAGTTATTTCCAAGTGAAAAGGTTTTTTAAAAATTAGGTCCACCTCAGAGAAACCAGGCCAACAGGAAAATAAAAGCTACTTTATGTACCTTTTACATCTATGCAGTTTGCATCTATGCACATTCTTTTTAAAATATTCACCACTGTATACTAAGTTTTCAACTTACTGTTCAAAATGTTTTCTTCTTTTAAGAGTCTTCATTCTTTCTTAAAAGATGAACAGACTATAGCCTTCACAGTTTATCTAAATAAGCTAATATGTTGAAGCCAACATTCCATCATTTGTAGCTTACTCATCAGAAACAGCAGGAGGGGAAAAAAAGCATTAAAATTACAAGACCTCTGCTCTCCACACTACCCATATTTACCATTCGTTTGCTGGTGATTGCATTGCAGTTTCCAAGTAAAACCTCAAATTTTAAATTATGACTTCAGTTTTATTCTTATGACAAGTCAAGAAGAGTATGCAGAGACACAAACTGGGTGGGTGGAAAGGGGTGGGGGCGGGTAGGACGATTAACTCTTTGCTGTATTGAAGAAGAAAGAAGTATGAAAATTTCTGCTCCAATTGAGTCCCCAAATAACAGGTTTTTCTTCTCATAAATGTATCACTGTGTGGAGTATTAAGGTTTGAGAAAGGTATTCTTACTAGTTTTTTTTAACCTGTGAATCTGGTGATGTGAAGTAAAAGTGCTTTTTCTTTCTTTTCTTTAAAATTGAACTCAGGAATTTGCACCCCCTTGTGGTCAAACATAAAATTCTTCATTTTCAAAACACTTTTTTTTTTCCAGTTGGGCTTTTCTGTTCAGGCATAGGAACCAAGTTATTTGATTTTGTTTTCTCCCATTTTAGTGAATCAAGAAGTTTTAATGAAGGGTTCTTGGTTTATTAAATAGGATTTTAAACAAAATAGGATTTAAATCTTCTAAAAGTGACCCCTATACAAACTTCAGTCTGTGCAAAATGGAGATAATGTTGGATCCACCTCATGAGTTGTATTGAGGATTCAAGGAGAAAATGGATATAGCTGACACATAGTAGGTACTCAATAAATGTTATTATTTAGTAATACCATCATCACTTTAGAATTCTCTTGACAGAATAAACCTTTAAAGGGGCTAGATTAAAAATTTACCAATTCATGATGTTCTAGTACAATCTTACAAATGAGATCCCCAAATTATCCAGAGTTCACTTAGCTGATTCTCTCCACAGGTATATTATATTTTTAAAGTTACAAAGAATATGTGTTTATCCCTGGATGATAGAAATTTGGATGGTTTTTACTTTATATTTTAGACTGGCCTGCTTTTTTCCCTTTTTTCCCTTTAACTTTAATAATTAGAAAAGCAGTAAAACGATTACATTTTCATGTTACTCTTTGAAATGGCAAAACAGATTAACATATTTATTCATCTGACAGAAATCATTACTCTACTTGGCAAAAATAATTTGTCGGGCTGATTTATCATTTTAAGGGCCTCTTGAACACAAATGCTAATTCCTAATTAGCTTTATTTTTAAAACACCTTCTAAAGAAACCATTTTAAGAGATTGGTGTCAATGACTGACTCACAACAATAGCTAACATTTACTAATATACCAAGCACTGTTCAAATGTCTTCAACATATTAGCTCATTTACATCCTTACAACTGGATGAAATACTAGCAATAATCCTTTTACAAAAGATCACACTGAGGAAAAAATAACTCATGTAGGGTCACAAAGCTAGTAAGTAGCAGGGCTGAGCTCCAACCCAAGCAGTATGGTTCCAGAATCAACTCACTTAACCAGTACACAAAAGTACCATAGAGATGTAAGACATAACTACTCAGCCATGTTACTTCTTGATGATGTCAGATTATTAAAGTCCATTTCTCTTCCAGTTGTACCTCAATAATGCAAGCCATGCTAACTTTCTTCCATTTCCTTACTTCTTAGAAATCAGGCACTTTTATATGCAATCTTTTTTAACCCTCACAATGATGTATGTCCTTGTATACTCAAACTGTTGTGATTCATCACAAGTTGTTTTACAACAAAAACGAGAAAAAAGTGTAACAATGCCAGATTTTAAACTGTTGGATTCTTTAGAAAATTAATTATAAGTTGGGATCAGGAAAAAAGCAACCAGTCAAAAATAATCTTAAAATGTAATCATTTAGGATCAATGGCACTATTGTTTATGTTGTTTTAAATTTTCATCTTAATAATCTGGATCAGGTAGGATAATTCTCCCAAGCAAATGAATGATTAAAAGAGGTTTTTAAAGAAGGTGTTCAAATATTGATAACTTTATTATCATTTATTGTCCTACCATAGCGCCCAGTTTCTGACGTTTAACAAATATGCCTAGGTCTTGTGCTTCTACTTACTAGTTGTAAAACTTTGGGGCAAGTTTCTTAATCAGAGTCTCAGGTGTCCACCTGTATAAAATAAAGATAACACCTACTTCATTGGGCTGTTGTGAGCAATAAAGATAATCATTCCTTAAAGCGTTTACTTAGCCCCATGCCCAGCCCAGAGTAGTCAACACGTGGTATCTAGCTGTTATCACTTTGTCAGCGTGTCGCACAACAGAAACCTGTCTTTGCTAGATCAAGTTCCCTTACCACCCATTTTTTAAAAATCACCCTGTGATGCCAACGACTGCCCAATAACCCATTCACCTCTCCCAAACCGATCAGAGTGTTTAAGAACAAGGAAAACCAAGAAAGGAAACTGGGATTCGATGAAAGCGCCTAGAACCGGGCTACACACACACACACACACACACACACTCACACTCACACTCACACACACTGTCAGTTGTGGAGCAGGGGAAACCACGCCTCCTGTGTTTGCCCAGGCTGGATCGCACAGCCCCGGCTCCAGATTCTGACAGATGCGGACTCGTCCACGTGCTCGCTACCTGTGCTGCCTTAGGGAAATTACTTAAAGTCTCTGAGCCTTAGTTACCTGGTCTGCAAACCGAGATTAATAATAGAACCTACCTCATAAAGTTGTTCAGAGGCTTAAGGCGGTATCTCCCTCCGTAAAGTGTTGACTTACAGCAAGAGCTCTACACACCGGCGGAGCTGTTTTAAGTACACATGTATCCATACACACGGTCTCAGACACATTCCGTTGTTAGGAGTTTAGACACTGGCAATAATATGTTTTTCTTTTTGCCTAAGCTGCACCCTTATTTGTTTTCCTTGAACAGTAGAATAAATGCCTACCGACTGATGTGTCATCTATGGACCCTCGGGCCCGCAGTCTCCACGGTTCCTCCACCTCAGCGGCTGAGCCTAGGAGCTGCACGCACGCGCAAAAGGAGAGGTAGGAGGACTACGACTGAGGAAGCTGAGAGAGAGCGGCGAACAACCGACGATTCTGCGCATGTTCAAGGCGCGGGGGTTGGGGGTAGGAGTTTGCGCATGAGCAGAAGTGTCGGGAAAGCTAGAGTAGGGGGGTTAGGAGGCGGTATTGACAGCTGTGGAGGCAGCCCGCGTTCCCGGCATGCCCCGGGGCGACGGGGTTGGCTCTAACGAATTTGAATGAGGAGCCTCAGCGCTTTCGGCGCCATTTTCGAGTGATGCCTGATCTCATCAATCTAGCTGAAGAGACGGGATAACCTGTCGAGAGTATAGCGCCACTAGGACTACGCCAAAAAATCACTAAAAAAATCGTCAAAAATTACTTCGAGCAAAGGGCAGTTGGCGGAGCTTCGGCAGGGTTGGCGCAGCCGGTAAGAGCCTGAAGAAGTAGAGCGGGAGGTGGCAGTGGTGGGACCGGCAGGCGGTGGCGGATGCAAGGAGTGGGTCCTGAGTCCGCCTTAATTTTAATCGCAAAAAATGCGAGGAGATAGGGTTGGGGGTAATTGGGTGTCTAAGCTGGCGGCGGCGGGCGGAATGTGGCGGGAGCGCGGAGAGACGGGGGCGTGGGGGGAGGGGAGTTGCAGTTTGAGCGGGACGCGGACGCGCTGCGGCTGAGCGGCCGCCGCCCAATGGATCTGTCAGCAGGACCCCCCGCCCGGGGCCGGGGACCCGGCGCGGCGGGGCTCGGCAGGCCGCGGCTCCTTGACAGGAGGAGGGGGACGAGCGCCCCCTCCCCCATTGCCGAACCGAGCCGTCTTTCACCGCAGTTTTCCCGGCCCGCTGACGGCCGTCTTCCCCTGACAAGAAACTTAAGGTTGGCGGAAAATTGAGGACCCGGAGTAGCGGGTGCCTCCGGTCCGATCTGCGGGCAGTGCCCTCCTCGGGACCCAGCCATGTATATTGTCATCTTTGATGCTAAAAGCATGAGATGCCCTAGGAATGTGAGTTTCACCACGCCGTCCTCCTGCTCTGCGCGACTCGGTCCAGGCAAGGGTAGCATTCACCGCTTCTGGCTTTTCCAATTTGGGCAAGATGGGGCGGGGGCAGGCTTTTGAGGTTTTAGCGGGCTCCTAGGAAAGATGCTGGACTTTCGCTTTTTGCTCGGCATTTCTGTCATTTGCTCTCATGGTGTCGTTCTTTCTTGGAGGGGGGCGGGGGAGTGTTCATGGGTGAGATGAAAGATGGGGCTTCGACCTTGTGATTTCCTTCTCTGAGTCGCACTTTTCTTAGAAGACTTTTTCCTTCTCCAGTCTTTGAAACATGTCACAAGGAAAAAGGCAATCTGAAACTGTATTGATGTTTTCCTCCCAAAAAGTCTTTAACCGGACAACTTAACGGTAATTTTGCAATCCCCACCTTTTCTTGGGAACTCTCTTGAGTTTGGGGCGGAGGGAAGAGGGCTATTTGTCTTTGCCTTTAGTAATTTTTTTTTCTCGTCGTTTATACCGATTTTTACTCGGCAACTCTTGAATGATTTGATCTAGTGACTACTTTAAGTAATACTTTATAGATAATCGCTTTTGTAGAATTCGTCATTGAAGATACAGTGGATCTTGAATCCTTTTCTGCGCTGAAGGCGCCTTGGATTAACCCTTTGCTGGTGTGATATTTTGCGTGTGGGGCGCGCGGCTTTGAGTTGCTAATATGCAGGAGATGGTTTTTGCAGCAGCTATTCAGTTGTTCAAAAAGAGGAATAACGCTTTATGGGGACCACAGTCACACACTTTTTAGGACCGCCTGCCTAAAGAGTTTTTCCCGCTGGAATTGATGTAACGATTGATTGATTTCTTATTTCTATGAAGACTGAGGGACCCGCCCTCACTTAGAATCTTTCCCCGAAGAGAATAGGAGAGCGCAATGTGATGTTTTTCAAATTGTGCCTAACGGAGCTCCCAAAACACCGAACTTGTTACCCCCTGATTGGCTGGAGGGAAGCGGGACTGGGGGGTTTGAATGTTGAACACTAGACTGTAATTCTCGACTTTCCAAAAATTATACTTTTAGAAAACCACGGAAATAGTTATGAAACGCTAAGACGGGGAGTTTAAAAGAAAAAATGCTGGTGTTTAATATTTTTTCTTCCATAAAGGATTTTCGAGTGGTTTTGAAATGTATATTAAGAGTAAAATCTAGAGAAGGCGATTTTCGAGAAAATATAATTCTTCTAGCTGAAATTACAAGACTTATATGTTGCTCCGTTCTTTATTCTTTAAAAACTGACTGTAGGGTTCAGGGTTTTTATTCCTTTGACAAAAAAATTTCCTCTTAAGCTACATATATTTGATGCAGATTACGAGAGAATTTTATTTTCATGAAAAGAAACTTTAATTTTCTTAATGTTAAGAATGAGCTTTTCCACATTTTACACAAAAATCAGATACATTTTTAAAACTTGTCACATCTAATTGAAGATGTATAGGTTTTGCTAATTCAGCCATTGCGGTGGACTTAAAACTTTATTTACAAGAAATTTATGTTGCTTCATTTAGACAATATAACCGGTAAGTAGCACAGGTGCGGGTGTATGATTTCATTCATAAATTCATTATAAAGAAATATGTTGCATACACCAGTGTGGGTGTGTTGTGTTATATTTGGTTGATTTTCAGCTGGTTTTTCTTTAATGTTGCTTTAGACAGCCGTCATTATATTTCTATTATCAAGCTTGTCATTCCGTTTAATTGCATCTTGATAAAAGGCGGGTGTGGTTTTCAAAGAAAATCGGTAAACTTACTGATAAACAAGATAGCTGTAGATGGTTTTTTTTAAAGATATTTTTAATAGAAATTTACATCATTTTATGAGCAGTAGTTGAAATCTTGAAACTTAGAGTTTGTATTCTCACGTTAGGTCACATGTGCATTGTTAGAAAATATTCAAATGGAAGGATCCCACGACGTTTGTGAATTTCTATAGGGCTATAAATATGACTTATATTAATAAGTGGAATAGCTGAGTTTATAAATCGTACTATTTTGTATTGCCTTCATAACAAGAATTAGAATGACACAACCTATGTTCATTACCTTTTTTCAAAGCTGTTAATTTGAATCATCTCATGAAAATTTCATAAAAGATGCTACTTATCCTCTATAAAATTTGCTTTAATGAAATTGTAGAAGACCCCGTTTTTATTTTAAATGTAATTTTACCAAAGATACCAAAACTAGTGGGTTTTGCTTTTTTTGCTCTGTGTGTGTGTGTGTGTGTGTGTGTGTGTGTGTGTTTTAATTATCATTCAAATTATGTGACTTCGAGAGTTTTGAGGGTGGGGTGGGGAAAGGCATTAAATTCCACCAGGCTGGTTAAATTTAACCATACTTTTTTAGTGCTTTGGTTTATGGGGTTTTTTTGTTTGTTTTGGGAGGTGGTAGGTGAAGGATTGTTTTGTTTAATAAGCCATTTTTAAAAGAAGTGAAAGGACTCCTTTATTTAAAATTGTACACTTAAAGCTTGAGAACACACTAGCACCTAAATAAAATTCACAGCAGTAAGAATCTTTTCCCTTTTATGTGGCGCTAGATAAGAGGAAGACTTTGGTTTTAGATTTGTAGGCATGTAGGTATGAGTTCCAGCACATGTATGTTATTATATTATGTATATTATCTGTATGTCTCCGCAAAAATTGTTAATTCTGATTTATTTTCTATTCTATGGTAAGGACTAGAAAAGTCTTATATTACCACAGGAAAACAATGGTGGGGAAAGGTGTTGCTACAGTAGCTCAGCTCTTTTTAAAGCTTTGTTTACATATTGTGGGGGAGAGGGAAGTAGGAAAGGTGAGGTATCAGTCTTCCTGGTAGCATTGATTTTCATTTGTTTGGCCTTTATAATATTTTTTAAAAATTCAAATAAAAGTGCAGTTTTAGACTTTGAATGCTATTGTTTTGGTTGAACATTTCCAAAATAAAGCCTCAGGTGTTTGAATGTAACACTGCTTTTTTTTAAAAAAAAAAGATTAGTATCATTTTTAATGTTTATCTAGAGCTAAGGATGAAAATTTCAAAGTAGCTTGCATGTTCTGGATCCCTTGTTTCATCATGCTTTGTGTGCTACACTTTTGTTTGTTGTGTTGTGAAGACATACTTATTTTTATCTGTTTATTTATTAGTATGTATTCAGAACGTCACAAAATACTTCAATCCAAAGTATTGATCAGTGGATTTGGTTTACAAAAAGAAAAAAAAATACCCAAAGACTATATTAGATATTTCTTCTACATGATGCATAAGCTTTCTCCAGTTAAGAAAAAAATCAATTAGAGTATATATTTACCAGTGATTTTGAAATTTTATTATATAAAAATTTGTCTTATTAAAATATTACTAGCCTAAAATTGGCTTGTCTTTTTTGTTGTTTAATAAAGCTTACTAATCTTCACTGATTTGTTTTTAACCCTTTTTTAGAAGAAGCAGAAATATTGGTCTGATTATAAGTAAAAACCACATTTATAACAAGAAAACACATCTTAGAAAAAATTGTCAGGGTATTAGTGTACATGTAGTTTTGTTTTGTTTTGCTTTAATTCAGCAAACTTTGAAACACTGTGTGCCAGGCAACTAATTTTGGCATGTAATTAGAATTCAAACTATGACTTGATGAAATTTGGTAGCCCCAAAATCTCTTAAGACCAAAGAAAATCAGTAATAAACTACCACTTTCTTTCAAATAAGTGTCGAAATGAGATTAAGCCATTTTTGCACTTAATTTTTATAAGTGACAGTATTAGAACTTTAAAGTCGTCATTGTCTTAATATTATAAGAGTAACATCAGTGGTAGAATGTCACATTAGTAATATGCGTTTATATGTTTTTCTGATTAGTGACTGTAGAGCTTTCCTATAAATGCTGCTTTCTTGTAGGGAAATGATTTTCTTTTACCTTTTTTTTCCTTTGCCTGCCTTAAAGATTGTTAAAAGGATCTTTCTTTTAGAAAGACAAATTTAAAATATTGGAATTTGATACTAAATACATGCGCAAATTTTATTCTTAATATTTAACAAGTTATGAGAAGTTTAATATACTTTTGTTAAATTCTGTCTTATTTCACTAAAGAATCTATACACTGGAAAGATGTCTTGGGTTCTGAGTATAAAAAAGCTGTATTTTGTAATAGATTTGAGATTTGAATTTTAGTATTTCAAGGATTGTTGTACTTTTTTTATCATACACATTTGATTTAATATTTGTCTTATATCTAAACCTCTTTTGTTCCTTATTATCTAATATTTTTTGTTTTTCTACTATTTAAAAACTTAACATTTGGCATGAAGTACATATTGGTTTCTTCTGTTGTCCCGTGATTTTTAAATATTTAGATATCTTAATTTTTGGAATGCTCACATACAGAAAACTGTCCACATCTTTTGAGGAAACTATGGAAATTATTCTAATTTTTAAAAATATCATGGTTTGAGGATTAGTGTTTGTGAGTTATATATGTTTTTTTGTCATAAAACAATCAAATATTTGGCTCCAGAGAAATAAAGTTCTGTGATTATCATTTCTTTTCCTAAGCTTTTTTTAAATAAGAATGGAATACTCAGAGCATTGTGTTTCACATATAGTACATTATAAATTTTGGGTAATTTAACAATTTAATAATTTTATATAGTTGATTGCCACTGAATTATTAAGATTCAAGTGAAACAAATGAAAAGGCCACTTACATACATTTGATTACACCACCTCTACTTGGACACATTAAAAAACTATTGGCCCCAATAGTCATCCATTTATAACTATAAATATTTTAATTTGTTTAAAAAGTAAATTCTAAGTTTTACTCTGTTAGACTGTGATATCTTAAAATATTTGGAAATACCAATATTATTATTCACTCAGGCTTGGCAGAAGACTAAGGTTGAAAATGGTAATTTCTGTCAGCATTAACATATGATAATTTGGGGTAAAGGTAGTTTAAAATTTGTCTCTATTCCTTTAGTAACTTTTTAAACTGTGTGGATTTTGTAAGTTTTAGAAACACAGAGAAACTGTATTTCTGATATTTTATTTACAGAGTCCACTTTACTAGTCCTCTAACTACCTACATAAACACACTCATCTATACTGCTTTGAAAATGAATGCCCTAAAGAGAAATGAAAGCAGAAATATATTAATCTGATTTGTTTGTAGAGGCTTCGGATGATAAAGCATATCACAGGTGTTTCTAATCAAGATATTACTATTTTTAAAACATTTTCTAGTTAGGGTTTCTTTGAACATAGGCAAGATTGGGGTCATTTTGAAGATCTTACCTCTGCATTCAGGGATCAATTGTGAAACTGCAGGAGGCGGAAATCTGTTGAGTGTCTTCATGCTATAATACATGACATTTTTATTGCAGGTTTTGACCTTTAGGAGAGAGCCAATTCTGGAGAACAACCTAACTTCTTTGATTGAACGTTCATATAATGCATTGGAACATGATAGGAGATTAAGGTATACTAATGAATTTTAAAAGCATACAGTTTTATAACTTTGTAATATAACTGAGCTAGACAGTTGGTAAAGCTGGAACTTTTAAATGAGCTAAAATCAATAAAGACTTATTAATAGGCAGAAATCATCCAGTGAAGTGGCCAAGATCGAATTCTCTTGCTTTATTAAAACTTTAGATTTGTTTATATAGTGGATGTACTTATCGTATTATATTAGGTCCAACTCCAAGTGAATTTATCTGTTCTAAAAATAAGTATATATACTTATATTTGGTTTTTCTTCTTATAGTTGTTATTACAGTGTTATATGTAAAAGAATTAAATAGTGGATTTTTCATCTTATAGAATGGAAGATTTAAATCAAATGGAATTTGGTACTCTGTTCTTTGATAGGTATAGTGGTAGACAGAGCTTACAAAATTAGATAAGATTAATGAAAATATTTTAAGATAATTTAAAGTATTCCAAGTACTATCCTAACCAAAAGTGTCAGTTTGGTTGAAACTGAAAAACCCACTTTCTTAAGCAGAAACTAGTATCTTACTCATAGGTACTCTGAGTAAAATATTTAAATTGTTCATATCAAAAGTTGCAAACTCTTCAAAAATAAACTGCAGAATTCCAAAACAGCTAGTGATTTGTCTTTACCTCCAAAATCTGTATCACAGAACCACTTTCTAGCATATTTATTTTCCTTGAAATAAAATTTATTTTATAGTTTTAGTTGAAAATTTCAGATACTTTGCTAAAAAAAAAAGTTGACTGTTTTCTAAATTGTAATCTGGTGTAATGAAAATGAACTCACTGAACAGCATTAACTAAGTATTACTTGGTTAATTTTTGAGTAGTAAGGTATTAATTACATGATAAAAGTATTAAACATAGTATTATTTAAATATTTTTTAAAACACTACTTGCTAAATAGAGTAAGGTTTACTAAAATATAATATCCTATTATTTTTTCTTAAAATTTTTTCACTACTTTATATACTTAAGATACAGGAAATCGTACAGGTTTGTTTTCATAAGAAAAGTGTAATTTAGTCTTAAGAGTGAAGTGTATTTATCCCTGTGGTCATAGAACTACTTTTATCTTTAAACAGTGTTAAAAAAAAATTTTTAAGCAAATTCTCTGTGTGTTTAAGAAAGTTTGAACATTAAGATACAATTAAAATACTAAAAAAAAATTAGGTATTTCTGTGTTGTTGTATATTAGATAATCCAGGATCTGACTCCGTTAACAGTTAAGGTTAAGTAAAATATTAAAATAAAATATTAAAATAAAATTAAGGGCGAGGTTCAGATATTGATGTTATTATACTGTAAGGTGGTGATTTGCGATAGATACAAGGTATAGAAAGTCTTCATAACTTTGATTTGAGAATGTTATGAAAAAGCAGCTAGTTTGAATAGGGTGAAAATGAAAACTATTTTCCCCTTTAAGTTAAACAGTGTTTTTGAGGTTAGAGAACATGAAGATGAAAAGTGAAAAATACAGTTTTTGAGTCTGAAAAAAAATTCAGGTTTAAATCATCACTTTCAATCCAAGTATCTTTACACACAGCCTTAGTGAGTTAAATGGGGTAAGAGAGACAGTTTTTGAGTTTATATTGTAGAAAAAGACATAAATCCACAGAGTTGTTCCTAATTAAGAGAGTTTATGATTGTGATCTTTTGTGTTGTCAAAACTTATTGTTTGGACACAAGTATTTAGCATCATAAACTGTCCTGCTTGTATAGCTGTATACTGGCTTATAAATTTCCAAATTTTTAGCTTAGTAAATAATTTAACATCTGAAAGAATCAATGTAGATAATAACAGTCTTTTTTTTTTTTTCTTTTTGGTCAGTTCTTACAGAGTGAGAAACTTTAACCTAATTAGTAGTATGTGTTATTTTTGGAGATGGGTTAATAAGGGGTTTTACTGCTATATGTGATTGGCTATCCTTTAACTACCCCTTTTGTAAATACATTTGACATTTTGTAAGGATTTTGGCTGTTTTAAATTTACAGACCTGATTATCTGTATCTAACTAAGCTTTAATATGTTGTTCATTATGACAGGATTTGGGGGAAAGGATTTATTGTGTTATCTTTTTTTCAGTGATAGATTTCTATCTTATTTTTGTCATATTTATACTTTTGGTTAAATGCATTTTCAGGGTTAAAATAACATTCATTTTCAGGAAAATTCCTAATTGCCCCTAAAATACAGTTATACTGTCAGGGTTGTAGTTTTATTGAAATAGTTATCCTTAGAGTGGAAAGAATATTTAGATAAACTAGAGGTAATTTAACTTATCTACGTATGAAGGGACTTGAAATTATTCATTATTTGTCATTGATGTATATTTCTAGTTTGTAAGGACAAACGTATTTTAAGCAATTTGTCGGTAATAACAGTTTTTTTTAATAGAGGTTATGATGTTTGCTAATAATTCATTATAGATACAATTTCTTAATGAAAAATGTTTAAATGTTTATTTGAAGCAGTTTTGTACATATGTGTATTTTATTTGATTTGGCTTAGTTTTACTTTCCCATTTTCATGATTAAAGTCACTTGGAAGAAAAGCATACAGCATGTTTCAAATACAGTTGCTAAGACTGATTAACCCACTGGCTAATAGTTGATTAATTTACTACTGTTTCTAAATGTCTTAATTTTTTTAAATCCTTCTTTGATATTTGCTGTTACTCTTTTTTATTGTATAGCTTTCATACTAAACAAATACACTTAATGATTTTGTTATCCTGTGATCCTCAGGTTTTTTTTTTTCATTTTTATTATTAGCATTATTTGTTATTGAGCTGCTGCTAAGCAGAAAAATTACTTTTTCAGTTTTGATAAAAATTAAAGATTGGGGTTTTTTTAATAGATTATCTGAATTTTAATTATTACTATTTTTTACACCTTTTTAAAAATCTCAGACCTAGCTTTCTTGAGTAGCTATTATTTAAACTTATTGGCCAGTTCTAGCATTTTTAAAAATAATTTACATATGTCCTAATTTTTCTGACTTAAAATAGTTTTTTCTGTCTTTAATTTTTCTGAAAAAAATAGTTTGACAGAACAACTATTTCTGTTTCTTAATCATCAGTTGATATTATGTGCTTAGTAAGTTTTTAACTTTGTATTATACAAAGTAGATAAATTATATGAGTAAAATTTATTTTTAGTTGGAACTTTTGTAAAAACTGAGCTAAAATCTTACTTATTTGCTAGTAGTGTCTAATGTCAGACATATGGTGGTGATTAGATAAGTGGAACCTGGAGACTGGGGCTTTTTCTAAGCATAATATAATTTCATTTCTTGATTGAAATTTAGATACTTTCTTATTTTCCAGGAAAATAGGTAGAGAAGATACTCTTTATGAATTCACCCTGAACCTGGTTAAAACTTTTCTGAGAATTTTGGTAACTGAACAGCTAAATTTAAACTTAGGTGTTAAAGTGTCATTAATTGTTTTCCCCTTGGATACATTATAGATACCCTTTCTAATCAAAACACCAGTTTTGTCTTTTCTTATCTCCCCATCCTACTCTTTAAAGAAAAAATTTCTTCTTAAATAATTTTATCATGTAGCTATACAAGCAGAGCTTCTGGATAGGTTGAGCTGAATCATTTTTTTCTTCTGTGTGTTAGTGGCATATGCTTTTCTCAGCTTGCTGCTTCAGTGGCAGCAACAGTGAAAAAACAAGTATCACCACAGCCCTTGTTCTTGCTTCTTACGTTGGGAGCAAGGACTAGGAGATTGCTGCTGCTTGTACAGAATAGCATCAGTATACAATAATAGTGGCCAAAGGAGCCTGCACCCATCAGCTTTTACAGACCAGGTAGGAACCCATATATAATATAATGAATACAGTCTTTGACAAAAAAAGTATTTTCTTCCCAAAGTAGCATAAAGAGAACAGCAGATGCTTAAAGCTCTTAGACTCTTAACTATTTTTTACTATTTACTCTAGTTTTGGTTTATTTAATTTTTATTCACTTAATTCCATCTGTATAAATGGAAAATAGTCTTGCTTCTGAAAGTATATGCGGTATATTTCATGCTTTTCACTTTTAAGCTGGTAAACTGGAAAAAATTATTAATCCTTAGTTGCCAATAACACAAGTTAGGTAATACATTGAGGAAAGAAAAGTTGACTGTGGCCACACAGAGGTGTTTCTTTCACTTTGGGACCAAATTCTAAGCTTATATTATCTTGATTTTAGAGCCCAGTCTAAACAAGGCCAAACTTGTGTTGATTTCACTGTAACTAAAAAGAACACACCCTATACTACTTTGTGCTTATATAAAGACAAAGCAGGCTGCAGATAGAAACTCTTTAAAAGTCTTTACTTTTTTCTCACTATTAAAATAATGCCTTATATCTGAACTTTGTATCTGAAAAGTTTAGGTTATCCTAAATCTTTTGGAATTAGGACTCTGTAATTTCAAATAGTGTAGAAGAGTGTTTTTTATTTTTACAATTTGAGTTCACACAGATTTGCATAACCTTCATATCTATATTTTTCTCCTCTTATATTAAAATTCCAATAGGTTGTAGTTAAAAGGAAATGAATATTGGATTTCTACTAAGTTCTGATTGCATCTGTAGCATTCTTGGTGAAAAACTGCAAATGATGTTATTAGTGTATAAGCCTAATGTCCCAAGTTACAGTCCAACATTTGTAATAGCATTCTTTTAAAAAGGTAGCCATGGGTGTTTTTTTGTTTGTTTATTTTTGTCTTTTTTCCCTAATACTAGAATATTTTCTTTAACATGTTGATGTAATTTAACAGATAACATATTAATTACTATTATCTACCCTTAACCAAAAAGTGAATTATGTAATGCTATATATTGAAAACACCTTATTTTTTTTCTACTAATTAATGTGTAAAGTGTCTGTGGACCACCTGTACTAGAATAATTTAGAATAAAGTATTTTTCCAGATCTGCTGAATCAATCTCTGGAGCTAGACTTAGGAATTTGTGTTTTTTACAAGCTCTAAGTGAGTTTTTTTTAGAAGCACCACATGTGAGAATACTCTCCAAAATGAAATGGGGAAGGATTCTTCACACCAATAAACCATTTATATTTTCTGCTTTATTTTTTTCCTCTTTGGTCATCATGAATCTAAGCTCACTAACTAACTATGAATCTTATCATTTCTACCACAGTAGTTTTAGATTCAATCTTGTTATTTCCTTAATCACATAAGGAAAATTTATATTATAAGAGCTTAATTTTTGTGCAAGTACCTTGGACCAAATTTTAAGTCTGTTTATTTGGAACATAATGAAATAATACCTCTATTAGACCTGTGCATAATTAAAACAGAAGGGATTGATCACTTAAGAATTTTTTAAATTTTCATTTAGATAGTAGCTATTTTTCTTAAATGTATTTCCAAATATGTATTGGAGAAAATACAGAAAGGGTAGCTTTTTATATGCTGCTTGTGGGAGCATTTGGCAGTATCCTACAACAATTGAAGATATACATAGGCTTCGACCCAACAATTCCATTCCTAGATGTTCTAGATAAACTCAGGCATTTGTGGAAAAGTCTTGTTTATTTTTACTTGTAATAGGAAAAAATTGAAAGCAGTGTAAATGTTAAGCAATAGGAGAGTGGCAAATTGTGACACAGTCACGTGATGAAAAATGTTTGTTTTACAGCTGTTAAAGTGAGAGCTATGTGTATCATCATGATGAATGTCTTACTTCAGCAAATAAAAACAAATTGCAAAAGGTTAGCTACAGTATAACATTTATGTAAAGCTTGAAAGCAATGATATATGTTATTTTCAATAACTGAATTTGTAATAATAATGTAAAAAGATGCATAAGAATTAAATAGCAAGTTCAGGATTGTGATTATGTCTTGGGAAAGAGGGGAATGGAATCCAGGGTATGGTACAAAAGGGACTCAACTATTTGTGTATAGTCTTTTTTCTTTAAAAATAAATAAGCATGGCAGAATATTAGAATTCAATGCAGATGCATTGGAAAGCCAGGAGTAGGATGTGGGGATTTATTTTGCTATTCTCTTGATTTTTCCTGTGGATTTGAAATTTTTATCTTTTCAAGTAAGTGGGAAAAAGTACTGTCCCTTTTTTGGTGAAGATATTCTACAATAAGATATACACTTGGAATACTCCATTAAGAGCATGGATTGGGTTAATTCACTCTATTCTGTGTCTTGTAGTAAGTACTTAAAACCATTAGTTGGTGTAAGAACTACAACTATAATCATGGCCTACAGAAATCAAACTATCTAACCAAGTTAAGTTGCTAGGATATTTTTAAATTCTTTTATTTTAAAAGATGAACTGTAATTTTTCTTTCCTTTGCACACTGGCTTTTAATCTTTCCTACTTTTGTAAGTAAAGGACAACCATGAAAATAATTTCTCTTATTTTATCACTACTATTTCATTTACTCTAATTCAAGCAATTTCACAACTATGTTTTCTTTTGGCCATAGATCATAATCATAGCATACTATTTTCAGAAATTTCTTCATGAATTTTGAGCTTCAATTTAAGCTTTGTATTTATACTGTATTATAAGAGAATTCTTGAAATTAGGCAATATATAGATTTTTAGATATTGCAGCAATATACATGTGTATGTGTGTAAGAGAAAGACTGGTCAATCTTGAGGTATGATCTTGAATTTATCTTAAAATATCTGCACTTATATGATGTCCTCCAGAAGCCTCAGTGTGTTCCAAGTTAGACATTGAAGAATGAGTTTTACATATTTGATTTTTAAACTTCAAGAAGATAATAGTAACAGAAAAGTGTATTTTAAAAACTAATGGTAGTACTCTGGACTGAAATATATAAATCTGCTGCTGGGTGTTTCTAATCTGTGATTATTCTGTGCTACGTAAGAATCAGAAAACAATAGTTGTCAACCTCAGTTGAAAATTTTCTAACTTAAGTAATGTGATCAAATTTTTATAGTCTTCACTCTTACCTTTTTCATAGGTTTAGTAACAATAAAATGAAGACAATAATAGAACAAGCCCCTTACGTAGCCCAGCAGTTCTTACCTTGTAAGTATTAACTCACAGTCCCCCTACTATTGCTATAAAAAGTTCAGTGTCATGTTTTGCTTTATTTCTGAATTTTTTTCTACCATTCTAGAATCACAACTTTCTAACATCCCTCTACCTCCAACTCATTGAAGTTTGGTATTTATTTAGTCCAGTTTAGAGCAAGAATAATGCCATTGCCTTGGGTAAGTTTTCTGTTTGAAAAGTGCTTTACAGCCAGGCTCTATTATCTCTAAATCTAAGAATCATAATTGTAAACCTTTTTCCTTCAAAGAATTTTACAAATAAGTAATGGTCCTTTTTATTATCATCATTATTCATGCTATTGACAGTTATTTTATGGTTTTATAAATTGGAAATGTTCTCCCCACTTGAAAAATAATTTCTGCATTTTGCTAGATTATACTGCAGACTTCTTTGTGAGGTGCTTAAAATTTAGCTGTTAAACTTCAGGAGGTAGGAAAAACAGGAAGGCAATCCCTTTTCCTTCCTTTTATATATACACATGCACACCTCTTTCTTAGAATAAGAAACATTTTTACCCTGATTCATTTAACTTTTGAGAAACTTACAAATTCTAAGGGAATAATTCTAATAGATTACCTGAAATTGATATTATACCCCTAGAAAAACTCTCAAAATCCAGATCATGGTAAATGCAGAAGATATTTATTTCCCTAAATTTGAGACCCTAAAATCAGTTACAAGAAAGATTCTCTTCCATCAATTCCTTGAGCTAATCTAAATATCGCTAAATAAAAGAAACTCAGGTGTGTCTCTTTCTGTTCTTGATATTGAAGAATAGGGCTGTTTAAATGAAAACTAGTGCTTCAGATACTTCTGTTACATTACCTCATACCATTGCATTAGTGACCCAGTGAATAATGTGTATGTGTCAAGAGTGACTTCATGATCATAGATCAGCCATTGAGCTCAGTAAGTAGTTTTTCGGGTAGGAATCAATTACATATTGAAAACTTTTAATAATGAGCCAGTTTGAAAAGTAGTGGCCAAATGCCACAGATCACTTCTTTTTCTGATTTTTTTCCCTTTATATTTTTGTCTGTGGAAAACTAGAATGGAAACATTTGCAAATCCCCAAAGAATCCTATATAATCCAGGCTTGGGTTTCTTAATTGGTCCCTTGGAAGCCAGCTCAGCTTTTCTTCAACTTAACTCTTAGAAAAAGAAATCTTTTCAATTGGTCTTGCACTGTTACTGTAGACTGGAGGGCAGCTCACTTTTCCAAAGGAAAAAAAAAGTATCATTTAATTCCCAACAGATTTATAAGTACAGATACCATCACATTCTTAAGCTCATGTCATCTCCTTTATAAACTTCCAAGCAAGCAGCCTTTTTTGGATATTCTTCAGCATCTTTTAAACATAGATCATTTGCTGTATTTCATAGTTGGAATGTTTTCTGTTGTCTCTCCTAGGTAGTATGCCTGGAGTTACCTTTAATCTTAGATACTAAAATGGTGATGTTTGCAATTAAATAATACCCAGAAAGATAGATACACAGTGAGAGTATTCATTGATTCTTTATGATTGTGTGGATGTTCACTCTTCTGCTTTTTTTTTTTACTGTTTGTTTTATGCCATTGTTTCTTTAAGATAGGGATTTTTTTTAATTTTTCACTTATGGAATATGGATATCCCAGAAACTGGAATATTACTGTTCCATATATTTGATACTGTCAAAATTAAATAATGGCAGTGTTTTGGGTTCAGTTTTACAAATTGAGTGGAGATGAAATATTTTTCAAGTTGGTTTTCCAATTTTAAGGTCTTAAACTTTTGTTGCTTAACATAAAATATTCAGAAATAGTCATAATTTTTCCTACTTTTTTCTTTTTTTGAGCTATGCTTTGATTTTTCTTTATTTCTGTTATGTGAATTTAAAATAAGTGTATCATTTGGTGCTAAATAAAATAACATTTAGGTTCATTGTCAGCGTTAAGATCATTGCTTTTCTGTCTTTAATCTACAACAACAAAAAATTTAAGACATTGACTTTATAATAGGAAAGTAAAGCAAAAACTTCACTATTCAGTGCTATCAGTGTTAGTAGTCCTGTAAACAAAACTAATGGAGATAAGTTACTTTGTAATTCAAGGAAGTTATTAAATTTGCCTGGTATCCATGATATAGGCTACCAAAAAGAAATTACAACTATTTCTCACATTGGACTGATTATCAAAGATAAGTTTTCAGAAATGTTATCTAGTTAGCCATAGAATAGCAATGGCATGTAATCATACCATTCTAGAAAATATTGTCAGTTCTTGAATTACTGTGTAAAGTAGGATTTACTGAAAGTATTGCAAATAAAATCAGAATGTCATAATCAGTAGGGCACTAAGTAATCAATATGGGAAATGATATAAAATGTGTTGTGTTTTCAATGAAAGTTAATACTCTTGGTATGAATCCCTAGATATAGCTGAAAATTCTCCTATTTTTAATTTATTTGTAATGGAAATTTACTTGTGTAAATTACTGTCTACCTGTGCCACTCTTGAGGAAATTTTAATTATCTTGAAGAATTTTATAATGTGAATGTTTCTGAGAGAAAGCTATGTGCCAAATGAGAAAAAAAATCAAATTGCTCTTTTGGCACTTGGATTATAGTAAAGAGTGTTACAATCCAAAGCAGAAAAATTCATAAGGGTGCTAGGTATTGTCAGTATTTTGTGGTGAAGAAGTCTTTGCAAACTTAATAATATGATCAGTTGATATTAATTTAGTAAACATATCAATTCCAGGCTCTTAAAGCTGTACATTGTTTTATAATTTGTGAAATAAAGTTGACAGTATGCAACAATCATTTTTCAATTATTGTTCAAATAACAGCTATTTTTGAGAATTAGACAATGCTTAATTCAATAATGCCAGGTGTTCTTGTCCTCAAAGTTTTATATATTTGACATGTATATATTTAACAGGATGATTGAGTTAAATATGAGCTTTAATGTTTAAGGCTGTGTTTCTAATCTCAGCAAAAGTGTAACCATAAAATTTGAATTTTAGTGCCAAAATTATAGAAAGGGGTTGAATTCATTGTTTTCCCACCTTGAACAACTTATCGGTTCAAGATAGATGACTCAAAGAATAGTAGAGAACTTACTATTTATAGAGTTACTTTGGATATTTTCTTAAGAAAATGAAAACAGGGCAGAATTCTATACCACAGGCCCTGATTTAAATAGGAAATAAATATACAAGTATAATGAACTCTGGTATAATAGGGATTTCAAGTTCTTAGCATAAATACAATAGATAACATCCCAGACTACTCTATTCAGTTTTGCCCCTGCCTATCCGTTTGATTCTTCAAAATTATCTCCCTATAAAAACAGGAATAAATTGAATGCAGATTGGCATAAATATATATCCACTTATCAGCAATCGCACCTGAATTTTTGCCTAGACTGTCAATTTCATTCTTCCTGTTAATATCCAATAATAAATTTATTAAAATTTTTCTCAGTTTTCTTTTCCTTAATTTTACTCTTCAGGTTATTCTTTATGTCTCTAGTATTTGGTCTCCTATAGTCAGGACTTAAAATTGGCAATTTTATCTTCCAAATCCTTAACAAGACAGCTTAGTAAAATACATTGAATTTTTCTAAAAGCCAGTTTTTAAATTGATCTACATTCATTTTATTTTAGCCCTCAGAATACTAGAATTAAAACCATAATAAATAGACTTTTTCCATAGTGTTAAAAATTGTATTTGTGTCAGTAATAACTGATGGCAAATAAAATTCTTGTAGGAAAGAGGTTTCATTTTGATATATAACTTCATCTTTGGCCCTAGATATATCTTCTAAAAATAGTTTTGTATCTTTTCTCTAGGCTAAACATACACAGGTCCTTCCACTGGTTCTCATAGTATGAATTCTAGACCATTGGTATGCTGGATATTTCACTTTGGTCTGCTACATTTTGTCAGTATTCCTTTTAAAATATTGTATATAGAACTGAACCCCCAGTATTGTCAATGTGGTTTGAGGTAGAAAATACAGTCTATCTCTTATGAATAAGATACTCTGTTAATGCAGCCTGATTCCAGTAACTTTCTCTTTGTCATCAATTCTGTTAGTTCATATTGACTCACAGTCCACTGAAACCCTAAGTTTGTCAGAAGTGTGTTTCATATCCTACAGGCATTTATAGAATACATGTTCACTGCTAGATGGGCTCATAAAAGTTTAGGATTATACCATCTTAAGAACAGGTCTATGAGGTAGGCATTAATAGGCCCATTTTATAAAGAGGAAACTGAGGCTCTGTGGACTAAAATAACTAACCTAAAGTCTAAACTTATAAGGGACAGGATTCCAACTTGGATCTCCTGGCTTCAGATTCACTGTTCTGTATCACTGCCGCCTTGAGTAAATTATTTCTGCTGCTCATTACTTTGATAAAGTTAGAAATTCAAAAATTGACCAGTGAATTCTGTTGCATTTAGGGTGATTTAAGAGCTTAGGAGACATGTCTTGAACTTTTTAATGTCATTGTTAAATGCAATAATGCCTTATATAAACTAGATGAACTGAAATTAGAATAGTGTAAGATAGAAGTAAATATACCTAAACAAAAATGTTAATGGAAACAAAATTAAAGTTGCATATTATGTATAGGGACGTGAGGGGGAAAATCACTAATTTATGTTAAATGTATAATTTTTACTATATTTTTAATTTTTAAATTAAATCTAAGAAAATTAACTTAAGGTAGTTAAATATTCCCATTTACTCATATTCATTTTCAAGTTGATTTCTTAAGCAAGACACTTTATTTTGTCTCACCTTTCAAAATGACTGTTTTTTCTTAGAAGATTGTAAAAGTGAAAAGTTGATAGATCAAAAGCTAGTAAAGATACGTAAGAACCCACAGGCCAAAATATAAACAGCCAGACTTGGAACTAAGGCTACTGTATAAAGATTAAAGGACAAGAACTGAATGGTTCTGTTTTCTGATTTTTTTAATAGC